CTCTTGGGGGCAGCTACCTCAGTCCCCCCTCAGGGGACACTAGCAGTTGGGCCAGTGGAGGAATTGGTCTGGAAAGGTGGCCTCGGAGAGAACATGTGCTGACTGTCAGTAAGAGGTGAGGATGGTCTCTCCCAACCCAGGGTCCCATCCCTGATCCCCTCTCCTTTTTCTGTTGCCCTCCCTTTTCTCTTTGTCCTCACTATTCCTTCCTTTTACCAGAAACCTGATTTACCCTCTTCTTAGGTTTCTCTGAAGTAGTGGTTAACCCCCGATTGTGGGCATTCCTCTGAGGTGGAGGGCACCTTCCATAGCCATTTCCAGGTGAGGGGGCACATACTGTCCTGAACTTTTCTATTCCATAACCAACACGTACACAATCATATGCCTACAGGAGGAACACTTCAGTGGATGAAAACTATGAGTGGGACTCTGAGCTTCCAGGGGACTTGGAACTGGTCGAATCACTGCAGCTGGGGCAGAGAGGTGGTGGCCCCCGGGGCCAGCCTGAACTGAAACTAGGTGTGTGAGATGCCAGGGCAGAGGATCAGGTCCCAGCCTCTTCATCCTTCCCAGCTCAGGCTCCTGGGCATCCGTCTGCTCCATGACTTTCTCTTCCTGCCTCTTCAGCCCTGGATTCAGCTTGGGGCATGCTTGTTCTCTACTCTCAGCCAAAGTTTAGTTTGCAGTTGGACCCCTAGTCTCTCTGTTTTGGGATAATAGGATATTCTCTGTCTTACTCTCACAAGGGAGACTGGCTTAGGCACTCACTCTCTCTTCCATGTCCCTCCCTCAGCTTGTCCCCTGAAGCTTTTATGTCCTCTAAATCTGTTGCTTAAAAACCCTTCCATCTCTCACTCCTCTGCTTCATGCTCTCAAAGACTCCAAGGGACCAGAGGAGTGCACATGGGGCGCTGGCCACCCTCCTGGGCCAGAGGAACGCTGTGCTGCCCTTCGTGAGGAATTCTTGGCCTTCCAACGTCGCCGTGATGCTACCCGGGAACGACTGCCTGCTTACCGAGACCGCATCAGTCACCCTGAGCAAGCCACATTGCTATGAATGCTCAGTGGTGAGGGGACAAGGACTTATGGGCAGGGCTGAGCAGGGCCACCTGCAGGGGTACTGGGGGCATTGATAATACCCCCCCAGCTGGTTCCTAGGCACAGACACTGGCTGGGGGGAAAGATGTGGGTGACACTATCTCCCTTAGGTTGAATTGGGTTTCCCCAGAAGGGCCTCTCCTTCCTCCAGGGCAGAGAGGGAGGAGATAGGTACAGAGATCTCAGGGTCTGCCCTTGCCCCTTCTGTGTGAGTGAGGCATGGGGAAAGTTTTTACAGGCAATTAAAGAGAGACTGAGAATACTTTACTTGTGTGTTGTGCCTGGCTTTGAAGCTGAAGGAGAGGTGGGGAAGGGTATAGGATCATGAATGGCAGGGATGGGAATCCCCCAAGGTGGAACAAGAGTTCCTCTCCGGCAAGGGGCCAGAACCAAAGCTTCGCTGGCAGGGTGATCCCTGAAGGAACTTATGTCCCAGCAACTGCTGTCTCTTTCACTTTCAGCTCCAGCCCTAAGAAGGCTGAGGCCCTTCCAAGTCCCCTCTGAGGAGACTTCCTTGCCACAACCACCTTCCTCCATCCTGCAAATGTGCTAAGGAGTAAGAACTGAGATGAAAAAAAGTAGTGATGGAAAGTGAGAGAGGAGAGTCAGCCCTGAGCTCCCAGAAGCCAACCCTACCCTTGCCTCTGGGGCCCCAGGGAGGAGAGAGTGACCTCACTCTGTACCACCTGTCCAGGCTTGAAGAAGGTGGCAGGGCAGGGCAGGCCAAGCAAACAGAATAGGATTGCCTCCTTGCCTGAAGAGCCAGGAGTTGGGGTAATGCAGAAATAAAATCAACAAGCATTTATTAAGCACTTAGCAAGTACCGGACATTGTGCTAAAAGGCTTGGAGTACAAAGGCAAAAACAGCCCCTGTCTTCAAGGAGCTCACAGTCTAATAATAGGAGAGATTACATCAAGATAACCATGTGCAAACAAGATATATACAGGATAAATTGGAGAGAACCTTGGAAGGAAGGCACTAATATTAAGGGGAATGGGGAAAAAAGCCTTTTGCAGAAGGGTTCACACTAACTTTGAAATCAAAGGCCCTGGACTTCAGTCTTGACTGCCATTACCTTGAGCAATTCACTTCTCTGATTTCAATGACCTCCTCTGTTGTCTGGACTAGATTTCTAAGGTTCCTTACCATTTCAAAGTCCATGATTTTATGATCCTCTTCCCAATCAGACCTTATTTCTATTCCCATTGGGCATAATGGAGAGAGAAGAGGAAGAGAGAGTTGTCTTGCAGTGTGCCTCAGTTTCCCCATCTATTCTACTTATCGATATGAATGCATAAGGGGTGGCAGGACTTGTCATATCCAGTATTTAAGCACTCAACTCCGAAGCTTCCCAGTTATCCTCAAATCTTTGGGGATGCTAACGGAATCTGAAGCGGGTACCTCCCAGGAGCCCTACAACTCCCCATAGCTCCCCCTGCGTTCTCTGCCCTGTGCCTTTAAATCCTCGCCCATCGTCCCGCCCCAGGCCCGCCCCTTGGCCGAGGCGGGATCTGCCTGAAAACCCCCGCCTTGGGAAGCCCAGTGCCACTCACTGCGCGCCGCGCCCCAGCCCGCTCAGCTCTCCATCCACTGCCTTGTGGTAAAGGTGAGCGCGGAGGGCAGGGAGGAGGGAGGGCAGAACTGGGCAGCATGGGCAGCCTCGGGTGGCTGCTCCGTGGGTCACTGAGAGCAGGGCTCAGGGTCCGCTCCGTGCCCCGTGCCGCCCCGCCCGTCTCCTGGATTGACTCTGCGCTAGGCTAGATGCAGGTGGGCAGGGGCGGCGGCCCTTGCCCTGTGCACTGCGCTTGGGCTTCGCCGGTCCTGGAACTTGGGGTCCGTGCCCCCCTCCCGGGCAACAGGAGAGACCTGGGCGAAGCTCTGGCCGCGACTTTGAGAAGAGAGTAGGGGAAAGGTGAGGGCTGGTACGGGAAGGGATCCGGTGTAAGTACTGGTGACTCGCCCTAGCCTGCCTATTAATGCCCTCGTTGAGACTGCCCCCTGGGGCTTTCCTTGACCTCAGGCACTTAGGTTTTCTCCTGATGCATTTCTCACTTTTATATTCGTGGCACACGTGTGGAGTGCTGTCCTCCGTTCTCCAAACTCTTGGCTGACTTTCTTCTTGCCAACTTTTCTCTGGAGCCTGGCACTGCCTGATTTCGGGCCTCCCAACAGGAACGTCCCAGTGCCTGGGCTCCGTTCCCCAGAGCACTGGGTTAGGATTAGGTTAGTACCTGGGTTGCCTCAGTAACCTTATTGTTTCTTCGTATTAAGAGCAGGGCCAGCACTTTGATCCCATCCCTCCAGTGTTATTGGGGAATGCGGGGGGGGGGTTCCTTCCAAACTGAGGAGCCCCGGCTGCAGCCTGACTTGTCTGGCTCCCGTGGCCTTGGATTGGGGGGGAGGGGTCTGACCCTTTCCCACCCCCCTGCCCCCTGCTGCTGGGAAAGCCTCTGGCCGTATCTGTTGAGCGGGCTGGCTGCCCAGACCACTGCGTCACCCTGGCGGCGGGTGAGTCATCTCTCAGTAACGGCCAGGGTGTGGTTGGGGGGGGGGAGGAGAAGGTAAGGATTAGGGAAGGCTAGGGGCCGGACGTACTAGGCAATATCGAGATTAGCACTCCGCCAATAGATGGGAATGGAAGAGTACGGAGGCTAACAACAGATCCTTTGGCTAGGGGCCACTGATTTAGATTTGGGATTGGGGTTGGAATGAAGCTGGATGTGAGTATCTTAGTCTGAGAGTCTGAAATAGTTCCCTTCTCCCTATTCGTACTCCCTATCTGGAGAAGTACCCATCCAGAAATTGGACTAGGGGTGCACCGTGCATTGCCTGTCACACAACAGGTACACAACACATAAACGCATCTTGATTCTTTGATTTACTGGTTCCTAGCTGGAAACGGTAGTGGTGTGTGTAGGATTTGTATGTAGGAGGAGCATTATGGATTTTCCCTCCCAACTCCATTGTACGCACAGCCTAGTTTCCCATTCCTGTCTTCTGATGAATGGGAAGGGTGGAGATGTTGGGGTGGAGCAAAACCTGGAGGGCCCTCTGGACCCCAGAACCTACAAGTCCTCTTTGTCTTCCTTCCCCCTTGCTCCCATCCTGCCTCTGCCTTCCTGTTCCCTCAGGGCTAAATCCTGACCTCATTTATTCCTCTGGGAATTTTCTTTTGTACATATTGCTACTAGCCCTGAACTAGCTCCCACTCCCAGAAGAACCTGAGTCCTAGTATTCTTTCCCACAGCTGACTGGCCTGGGGACCCTGCTTGTTCTAAGGTGACCCGAGCTAATAAATGCTTCCCAAGGTGGTGTTGCCACCTCTTCCAGACTGTTCTCAGAGCCTTGTTACTCTTTCTCTGTCTGGGAAGAATTGTCTTTGTGCCCTGCCTGGCGCCCCTACCTAGCCCCTTGTACTATGTTTAGTATACAAAACCCATAGCAACAGCCCCCGCCTGACCTCCTCTTGCCCCCCTTCCTACTCCACCCCAGCACACCTCCTCCCGCCCAGGCCTTGTGGCTTCCTGTTTGTGTATCTCTAGCTTTCTCCACTGGGGGCAGGGGGGCCCCATGGGGGACACTGTAATCAGACCCATACTGCCTTCCCATCTCCCCTCCTTCCTGCTCCTGTTATCCCCTCACTCTGGAGCACATTCCCACTCCTTCCTTCTGTGGTCCCTTTCAGCTTGGTCTGGGAAATTGACTCACCCTTCGTCCTCCATGGTCCTCAGTGTGGCTTTTCCTCTTCCCCTGGTATTAAGATTGGGGCTGAGGCATGAGAGAACAGCATAGGCCGTGCTTATTCTGAAGCTGGCTTGAATTTGGTAATTTGAGGGTAACAGGGGTGTCGCTATTTCCTATTCCTCCAGCTCTTAGTAACTTGGAGGGTAGAGTCAGGTTCTTGTCAGCCTTCCTGGGGTAGACTTGAGGTCCTGCCTTTTTCCCCTTACCTCCCACTCCTTTACACTCTCCCTCCTTGTGCAGCTGTGAGTAGTTCTAGTGTCCAGATCTTGTCCCTCTCCTTTCCTCCTAACTGCCCTTCCATATTCCTGAGCTATCCAGCTGCTGGCTTTCCATGTCTACTCTGGTTTAGGCATCTCTGAGGACCCCACACTGACTTTCTAATTCAGCATGTCCTCCCCTCTGGGCAGAAACCCACTCTTTTCCCATCCAGGGTAGGAGGGACAGTCCAAGGGGTTTGCTGCCAGGGTGGGCCTCTTCACCCTTAACAGCCCAGCCAGAGCTTGTCAGCTCACGCCTGTGATACCTCTTTCCTCCATTCAGCCAGGATGGAGAAGGGAGGAAGAACAGCTGTTGGCCAGGATGGTTCCTTCCCAGGGCTCCTCCCTGCTGCTTTGGCACCATAGAGTGGCTGGGGCTCCAGAATCTAGCAGACACTGCAGCTGGAGCCCCATCCCTTGCCAGCTGTGGCCCAGGCCCAGCACAGGGCTGGGGAAGCGGCACCTCTGAATTCCTCCCCTGGGAGCAGTTTGGTACTGAAGTTCGAAGTTCGGTGCCTAGTTCAGCCTCAGGAGGATAAAAGGATTTGCCTATCTGGGCATTACTTTCCCTTCTTTCTCCACCCCTGTACTTGAGTTAATTATTCTCTTACCTGACTCTTCCCTCAGGCTGTGCACTGGTGATCCCTAGGCCAGTTAGCACTGAACAGGACCCTGATCTGAGGACCAGGCATGCAAAACTGAGTTGATTCTAGGAGATGTAGCTCAGAACGTGGCTTGGAGAAGTGGGAGCTTACATCTCTTCAAAAGGGATCCACCTTAGAACTTTCTCCCCCCTTTACCTCCTCTCCTACCTCAAGGAAAGGTTGGGAAGCATGATGAAGTTTGGAAGAGAAAAGCAGAACTTGGTCTCCTTCAAACTTTGCCCCCCCAAAGACTTGACCAGATTCCTCAGCTCTGTCTCCTTTCCCAGCCTCTCTGCTCTTAAAGTTGATGAGGAGATCAGGTTAGAGCCCAGCCTAGAAGTTATCCATTCTCCTTACTGTCTTACTGTCTTGGCTTTCTCCTTGGGAAAAGAGTAATGTGTATTGGGGGTAGGGAAGATGCTTGTTA